AGAAAATGATGTGTGTTCCTGTAAAGCCCACAGCAGGGATGCTGGATCTCAAATAATGTTTTCTAGCATTGTCATATTATACCCATTTACTTCATCTCATATAATTAAATGTAAATCATTGAGCGCTAAGCCAGTGTCACATGAGCCAGCTCTCTTGGTCATTCAGGCCTTAGTAACATCCAGATTAGCCTACTGTAATGCATTTACACGGGGCTGTCTTTGGAAAGCATACGGGAACCTCAGCACAGAATGTCATGCCAGATTACTAACGGGCTCTTCTGATCAAGCATATTACTTCCACATTATGTCAATTACCGGTACACTGGTTGTCTGTTTATGCCCAAGTTCTAGTCAGAGTGTTCTACTTCCCACCAAAAAGCCAGGGTATCTTAAGCAGACTTTCTTCCCATAAGTGCCGCTGCAAGCTTAGAGCAATATCAAAGGGACTGCTTTGCGTTCCAATTGTCTGAAGTGCAGCAGTTGGTGGGTAAAGGTAAAGGTACCCCTGACCATTAGGTCCAGTTGTGGCCGACTCTGGGGTTGAGGCGCTCATCTCGCTTTATTGGCCGAGGGAGCCGGCATACAGCTTCCGGGTCATGTGGCCAGCATGACTAAGCCGCTTCTGGCGAACCAGAGCAGCGCACGGAAACGCCGTTTACCTTCCCGTCGGAGCAGTACCTATTTATCTACTTGCACTTTGATGTGCTTTCGAACTGCTAGGTTGGCAGGAGCAGGGACCGAGCAACGGGAGCTCACCCGGTCACGGGGATTCAAACCGTCGACCTTCTGATCGGGAGCCAATGTAGGTCTTTCAAGACCGGTGTTATGTGGTCTCAGTGGCTACTCCCAGTCACCAGTCTAGCTGCCACGTTCTGGATTAGTTGTAGTTTCTGGGTCACCTTCAAAGGTAGCCCCACGTAGAGCGCATTGCAGTAGTCCAAGAGGGAGATAACTAGAGCATGCACCACTCTGGCGAGGCAGTCTGCGGGCAGGGAGGGTCTCAGCCAGCGTGCCAGATGGAGCTGGTACTATTTTCTATTGGTAGAAAAGAGCTCTCCAAGTCAGCTTATTTAGTGCAGATATTGCAGGAGGATTTTTAGTGATGTGCCATCGTGCAAAAAAAGAGAGAGTGAGCTTGAAATAGTTTTCATGTTGATTCAGCATTTTTGTAATGTGTGATTCGGGATTCTTCCTAAAGGAGTTTTGTTTTTTGTTTTTTAAGGACTATGTCTATAATTCCCACATGCATACTGGGGCAACACCTTTTCCTGTAAATAACAGTGAGGCATCTTGGAAGAAGAAAATGCAAGTAGACAAGGACAAAATAATAATGTGCAGAGTATGTGCTATACATTCAGTGTATATTTCAAAATTGTAAGTGGACAAAGTAGGTATTTTCTATGCCATCCATGTCAAATATTTTAACTTCAGGGGGCATGACTCAGGCTGGCTGGCCATAGCTGTTTACTGACAATTTTCTTTGCCAATAATAATAGACCATCAGAAGCTGAAATTGCCAGTCATTGTAAAATATGGAAGGTCCATATGCAGCACAGGGAGTAATTCATAATACATTTTAGACTTCCTCATGATGACTGAAGGGGTGCTCAGATGACACTGTGTTTCAAGAAAATGTTCATGCACAAAGGCTTGCTGCATTCTGCAAGCACAAAGCATTCCTACCTTGGCAGAATGTGGCAGCCTTTGCACATGTACAATTCCTTAGTGTTTAAACTGGATCCCTCCTCCTCACTTCCAGCTCTGGCTTCAGATAGTGGCAGCGGGATGCACCACAAGGGCTTCTGAGGGCTGGCTCTCACACACTCCTCACTTTATGAGAGTTACGTCAAGTGATGACTTGCATTTGATATAAAGACTGCAAACAGAATTTACACCAACTCTTCAACTCGAATGCCATGCTCTTCAATGGAGTTAGTTCCCACATCCATGAAATGTACAGTTAACAAGTACAGAGAAATCAAGTTATATGTATGCCGGTTTCATCATTAGGCAAACATGCCCTTAGACAAACGCAGTACAGTATAAGCAGTTAGAACCATATCAGAATAAGGTGTGCATACCTGTGAGACAAACATGTGCTAAAGGATGCTCAGTTATTTCTCACTACCTGCTGCAATGAAACAGGAAATTTTAATTTGTAAACATGGTATGGAAAATGTGTTTTTCACAGTTCTAGCATTATAACAAATACAAGCCACATATCTATATATGCCTCCTGTGTGTATATATTTATATACTATATATATATCTCCCAGATATTACAGATCTCCTTCATACTATCATATTTGTTACATCAAACAACACATTAAATAATATATTATTCTTGGAAATTATATCCTGCAGGCTGAATTATTAGAGAATATCTCCACACCACAAACTGCTGTGGAATGGAATTAATACAACAACATTGCAATTTTATAGATTTGTTCTGATGTGGTTTGAGCAGTAAAATCTGATGCTTTGGGGATAACAAAATATTTTCCCTTCTGCATATCTCTTTCTTTAAAGACATAAGCGCTGGCGCCATCACATTGCATAGTTCACAGTAAGACAATGTTAGTTTGAAGTTGGTTTTAATATTAGATTATTCCTCCACAATCAGCCTCAGTGTATCGGGCAATAAATACTAGGCATAGAATGAACTGGAGCATCTTGAAAGCGGTTTTAAGATGCAATTCATTTGAAATGAAATATGCATGCTTTTCAAAACATCTTCATCATGTATCTTATTCATCTGAATTGTTGTTTCTCAGAGTTAATCAGTTTAAATAACTGAAATACCTCTGAAATTACCTATTCATTTCACATTATTCCACATCACTAAATCAAGTGGTGCTGCCATGTCTCCCTGTAGTCAAAATGAGTAATGCATACATTACAGTACATTAAAGTCTGTCTACTGTCTGTTATGATGACTTTTGGAAACTTTAAAATGTTTGTTTACAGATACAGTAAATGATTAAAGTGAGTGAATGGTTGATAGAACTGGAATTCCCAACATCAGTGAAAAGCCATCACCAAATTCTGAACACACACATTGTTAACTTCTGAAATCACTTATCTGGAATCCATTGACATTATAAGGCCCACAATTACATTCATCCTAGGCTGTAGCACTCTCCCTTGGAAGGCTTGCTTGCTGCCAACCATGTCTCCATTTCAACTGGCAAAGACATTTTTGTTTTCTTGGACATTTGGGCAGTACCAATGATATTATATTGTTAATTTTGTTTTATATACATTTCCATAATTTTATTGTGTTTTTTACTTGTTTGTAAATCAATCTTCACTGGGAAGTGACATATTAACTTACTAAACCTCAAAATCAATGTAAGTGTCACAGCTTGATTATAATTCTGTTTATGTGCTTTGCCAAATGCCAAAGTTAAGCTGTTTGGGTTTGGAAGACAATCTTGATTTTTCATTATTACAAATTATTCTTAAATGTTGATCTCATCTTTCAAATCTTATACCTATATTTTGCTTTATGATGTTAGCGTATTTATAGAAAATACAGAATCATCTACTGAAGGAGACAATCATAACTTGGTTCATTAAAATGCCATTTAAAAGATGTGTGTGATTGATGTGGGAGATCTTATGATTTATAACTAGAGGAGATATGGATAGATAGATATGTAGGTGTATATATACTACTAATGTTTATATTGCAATGCAAAATGTACACTGGGCATCTGTACAAATCAACCCCCCATTTAATTTCCAGCAAAAGGTTTCAGGCAAAAAAAAGTCTTCATCCTGACTTGTCTTGCTGTCCCCTCCCATAGACCAAGCAGTTGTGAAGCAGCTGATCAGAGGGAAGAGCAAGCCAAATGACTTAACAGTTGACTAGCATTATTTGTAGACACCCCTCGATCTTCCCCAGTTCACACGAGACACAAAGGTGTCCACTGGCAGAGGAAGAGGGACGGGGGGGTGGACCGTCCCGGGTGCCAACCCTGAGGGGGGTGACATTGCTGCGGGCGCCACCCCCATTGGGACACTCACAAGCGGCCACCCCATTGGGATGCTCGTGTGGGCAGGCGCCACCACTGGTTGTGTCCCTGCTGGAGGGTGGGGAAACGAGCTTATAAGAGAAATTTTATTTGGCATTTAGGAAGAAAGGCTGCTCATAAATACAAACCTTCCCATTTATAGTGGATCCCCTCATGCAGACAGACAGCTGTTGCAAGAACAGAATACCCCAAAAGGTGTTGTATGCCCAGTTCCTGTGTAAGCACTCAAGTCCAGCCCCCAAAGCTGTAAGCCCAGTTCCAGTCACTGGACTGGGACTATCCAGTCAGTTCCAACATATATTTAGTGTTGCCAATTTTGGCGGTATCAGTCACCAATTTGGAGTGGGTGGTGAGCAGAATGAAAAAAAGGCTCTCTTCTCCTTTCAGCCAATAGCTGGGTCTTGCAAACACTGCAATAGGTGATTGGAATGATCAAAGCTGACAAACGATTGGACAGAGACATAGGTGCAAATCCTTGCATGTTGCTGTATTTGAAGATTTTTTAGTTCAGGAATGAAAGAACAGACTGGTAAATTGCTCTCGTTGCAACTGAACCCTGGTAGATAGGAGGATGGAGAAGCAACATCCAAAAAACAGTTATTGATGACCTGGAATATTGCAAGCATGGTACTGTTATGAGGGGTCTCTTTTTGGTGGGGGTTAGGCTATATGCCTGAGTCCCTCTTCTAATTCCTGGATCCAACATGGATTCCATTGCTGGAATACCCAGGCCAGCCTGGTAACACCTGCTAAGCATGGGTTGTTAAAGTAACAAATGGAGTGGCTCTGGGCCAGAGGACAAATGGGTGGGCCTCCCTCCCCTGTCATGTGAGCTAGAAGTTGGAAGCAAAACTGCAGGGTGGAAAGACAAGGAGCGAGCCGTGTCTGATTTCTGCTGGAATCCAAGGCTGTGGCTATGGGAGAAGCAAGACTCTGCTGGGTCTGACGCAGTGGAAATATATATAAAAAATTGTCCAGTAGCACCTTAGAGACCAACTAAGTTTGTTACGAAAGCTCATACTAAGAACAAACTTACGTTGGTCTCTAAGGTGCTACTGGACAATTTTTTAATTTTTAAAAATATATTTCTATTGGGGTGTTACTGCTGTGAATTGCTCCATCACAGGCTCCATCACAGGCTCAGGTTGTATATATGTGTAAAAACAACAACCATATATCATAGAATATACCAGAGTCTCTGCTGTACCTCATTTCAAAGCAAACATGAACCTGGTGATATGTTAAAGGTAGCCTCAGATTTCAGCAGGACTGGTAATACTAGTGAAACAAACTGAATGCATATGTCAACTCAAAACAGGAACTTCAATCCATCAGCCATTCCTAACAAAGGGAATAAAATATTGTGACTCTTCACTGTGTTCACTAGGATTAGCAGTTTTAAACAGGGACTGACTTTCATTTTGCATCCTATCTGAAGAAGTGTGCATGCACATGAAAGCTCATACCAATAACAAACTTATTTGGTCTCTAAGGTGCTACTGGAAGGGATTTTTTTATTTTGTTTCGACTACGGCAGACCAACATGGCTACCTACCTGTAACATGAACCTGGCGTAAGTGCCTGGAATGTTGCACCACTCAGAGATTGGGGTAGCACGCGACAATACAATTAGCAGCACATTTTACAGTTGGAGAAGGTACATCAGTTGACTTTATATTCTTGTAGAAATAATAGAAATTATAATGTGATTGTCTCTAATGAACTAGAATTAGGCCAACCTCAATTATTATTTAAACTAGGATGAGGATGATAATGATAAGTTCTTAACATAATTGTTTTCTGAAGAGGGAAAACACTGGCATACACTTTGGAACAACAAGGCTACCCATAAAAACCTGAATTTGTTTAAATATTTTTGGGATTAACAGTTATATTTATTCCGAACTACTAATGATTCAGTTCTAGAGATAAATGATTGTTTTATACTTTTTAGAGAGATTATTGGTGTACAGGTTATTTTGGTAAATGCAGTATTCGCAGTACACTACTCTTCCCCACCAAACTGCAAACTGAATTGTCCATGTGGATTTTGTAGCTTTTATTAATAGTTTTCTTCAATTTAAACATAAAAATGAATATTAGGATGCACATGAATCTAGCTTTTCATAGGGTTTTCTGTAACTTTAGCAAGAACATGAAGCCACAGAATGAACTAAAAAAAACTGTTTTATTGTGACATTTGACAATGAACCCTTGTTGATATGAATGATGGTAGGTACTCTTTGACATGTTACATTATGTCATGGTGTAACTATGGATGGCACTGTGTCATGTGACTTCTGAGAATGTTTAATGGTCCCCATTGACCCCAGTGCATTTTGATTGTCACAGAAATGTTATCACCAGATTTGTGTATACAGTTAAGTAGTTGATCTTATAAGCACCATTATAAACCCTCACATGAAGGGTGTTATTATTCTAGTTTACAAATGCTTCATGGATAAAAATAGCATGGTTACAGTATACACACACTTAATTTACATGTACTGTATTATAGGTATAACTGAGATAAACTACTGAGCTAAACTTTGGTTGATTGATGTATTTAGGTGGAATAATTGCAATTTCTTTGGCTTCTAAGTTGTGTATATATTACAGTGCATTTATAAAATCTAGGTTGGACATTTTCTAGCACCAATTTGATATCATAAACGGCTGACCTAGTAAGATGTAGCTGGAGAAGCGGGTTTTAAGATTTTTTTAAAAAACAGAAACAAAACGTAAGAATCCATTGATTGAGCTTGTTTTCTTGCATCGCTGCTGACAGGATATTGCCTCGGCATCAGTGGCCAACTTCCAACAGCAGTCCCGGTATTCAAGATTCAGCATATCAAGGTAAGTATACTTACAAGAAGCCTGAGAAAGTGGTTGTTGTGAGCTACAGTTTTCTTCCTGTACCTTGCTTATATCAAAATGGAATAGTGCTCACATGTTCAAATGTATTCATGAAGGAGTGTACCTATGATATGGAGAACCTTATTGGGAAATAAAACATTCAAGTCTCACCTAGCTATCTTTGGCTTTAATTATTTGGTCTCTCGTGAATTAATGAAGCAAAATTTCAATTTTCATTTTCAGGTTGTCTCCTAGCTCACCGCTGAGGTAGTCTTTGTCATGTTTATCTTCAAGCTGATTGAGTTCCTTCTTTTTGTAGAGCGGAATACTACTGATATGTAATGAGTAGGTTCCAGGCACTGGCTTCTTCTTTGTTAAGTGAAGGAAGCTTACTCCTTCTTTCTGATTTATCCTAAAGAAACCACCTTCATTCCCATGGTCTATTAAATATCGGTTGTGATTTGTCAGTGTTGTGAGAGCAGGGATCAGTTTCAAGATGCGATCTTTGTTATTAAGATCGGAGATGTTGAAAGAAAGGGTGGCTGGCTTTTCAATATCCCAGCTGGCAAGGTTAACTGCTGTCTCCATCTCAGGCTGATCCTGTGAAAGAACAGAGTGCTTTAATATATTTCTTCTAGCTTTTCCATACATGCATAATAACCATCCCAGCTATTCAGATAGTATGTGGGATGCCTACAATATTTTGCTACTCAGAATATTTCCTAGGGTATCGAGTTGGGCTTTGGCTCCACCTGCCAGACACCAAACTGTTCAGGAAGTAGGCGGCTCCTGGCAGGCCCATGCAGAGGTTGTCTGAGACTTGGGGCAGGAGTCTTGTTAGAATATAAACATAAAATCAGGCTGTCCCTGATGGGGTCCCTCGGCCAGCTTAGTCCTCTGAGGTATAGAGCTACCCACCACACGCATGGGCCTCGCTCACAGCCAGTTTTTTGTTTCTTCCTGAACAAAGCGAGCACCTGCTTTCTTCTTCTCAGCTTAATTGTCTCTATTGCCTTCTCCTTTGTTCTTGAAGCCTCTCTCCCCCTGAAGCAATAGCTTCCTTCTCCTTTCTCCCACCCTTTCTCCTATGTCTACTCCTGCCAGAGTGGTTGATGACCTCTTGAACAATCCACAGCAGGACGCTGATGGAATCCGCAAGATACTCCTTAAGCTCTCCAGATCAGCAGCCTTTGTTGAAGATGTTACCTTGCCCGCAACCCAGTTCACAGCACACACCATGCCAGCAGAAGTGGTTGCCTGCAGAATGTTATGGCTGAAACACTGGAAAGCGGACACAGCATCTAAAATCAACCAAGCCACAGCAGGCTTCAGAGACTGTAAGCTCTTTAGTGAAGACACCCTTAAGGATATCCTTGTTGAGTCAAAGCATAAATGGAAGGTCCTGGTCAAACAAGAAAAGGAAAAACACTGCTCAAGATGCTACTCCCACTACCAATCCACCATTTCTTTTGGAACTATAGCTCCAAGGACAGATAACGCGACTACTGACCAAAGTATTCCTGGAACAAACCTTGCCATGCCGCTAAGTCCTTGCAAGGCAGTAATTTTGGATCCTCCACCCCACCCCGCCATAACACCCATCAACAGAACAAATTATCTGGCTACCAACAGGCAAGTGGGGGGCAGATTAAAGTCCTTTTTTGCCTCCTGGAATGCAATGACAGATTGCTGGACCCGAACACCACTTCTCAGGGATACTGGATAGAGTTCCTTGCCCTGCCACAATCCCACTTCGTTCCAGCCCCAGCCCCCAGGGGCCAAACCAAGAACCAAATCATATGGGAGAGAGTGCAACATCTTCTTAACATGTCCATTGAACCAGTTCTTCGACATCTACTGCATCTTTCATTGTGGTGCCAAAAAAGGATTGCAAAGCTTGGCAGCGGTCCTGGACTTCAAATTCCCAAACTGATGAGTAATTTACAAAAAAATTCAGGCTCAATCAGGGAATTCATCATGACAACTTCCTCACATCAGTCGACCTCTGGGATGCCTATCTCCATGTTTTCATCCAGCCCGCCCACCATAAATACCTAAGCTTTCCAATAGGACCTCACTACTTTCAGTACAAGACTCTCCCGTTCAGCCTAGTCTCTTCTCACAGAGTATTCACCAATATCATGCTTGCTGTGGTGACTCACCTTTGCCTCCAGGGTAACCATATCCACTTGTACCTTGATGAACCAACCCCATTTGGGCACCAACCCTGGAAGAGGCACACCAACACCTCTCCAACACCATGATGGCCCTAGAGACTAATGGCTTCATAATCACAAGAGCCACCTTGTTCCAATGCCACAATTGATTTATCTTGGCACACTCATATCACACACATATCAGTGCCTGGCCTCTCTCACCCCAGATTGCATCATAAAGATAAAAGCCGCTGCCAAGCTACTAATGTCTTCCAAAAAGTAAGACATCAAACTGATGACATGAATCCCAGGACTGTGCATGCCGACCTCCCCAATAACCACATGGTCCAAGCATCACACCCAGTCGTCACCACAGATGCAAGTCTGCAGGGCTTATGAGCCCACTGCAAGGGACATGTGACAAAGGCATAATGATCTTTAGCAAGAGCTCCAAAAGTATTAACTGGCTGGAAGTCCAGACAGCATGGGTGACCACCCAACATTTCACCATGCGCCTCCAGCTCACTCACATCCTCTTTGTGAACCGGCAACACAAACATGAAGGCTCCAGATTTCCAGAACTGCCGGAGGAGCCCATAAGCAATTGTACTTTTAAGGTGCCATGGTATTCTGCAATAGTTGTTGCATTTGTCACTTTCTGTACCACTTAGCACTTTCTGCTTCTTTGATCCCTGTTCATCGGAACAAGGATGAGATAATTTAGATCAGAGCAAAAGATGAGTCCTAAAGTACATATACAGTTCTTGAAATACAATTAAAGGAAATGCGGGCCTTTGGCTAATGGTTCTTAGAACAACTGGAGAATACACCATCATCCAACAGGCTGATTACTATGCTTGGTTCTCAGAAGCTGCGATAAGGATCAGTTTGAGGCGCCTGTAAAGTTTGCATCTGATTATATTGTTTAAAGAACTGGACAGTCAGAAGAGCTTCCGCAGGAAAATCTCCCAAAAATTGCTTTATTCTGCAAAACTGTCAAATGATTTTTATTACTATCATTTGGCAAAATAAGATACTGGGGAGAAAAGGGAACTGTT